ATTTGAATCCAATTAGTATATATATAACTTATATAGAATCGTAATCGGTAAAAAAAAAATTCTCCTTACAATATGCAAGAAGCGATAGTTGGACAGAAGCGTTTGAGCTTTTTTAATATTGATAATATATTTGAAATCCTAGCAAATGAATTTGAGAAAATTTGGCCTCTAATATCTAATATTTGGACATGCTATAATAGTTAAAAATATGCTAATAGAGATTTTGGACTATTTATACTTGTCATTTTTTAAAGCATAATAAGTCAAGTACAAGGCAGAAGAGAGTACCTTCTAATAAATGAAGAAATACAAGTAAACGTATTGAAAGCCTATGTGAAGCAAAGATTAAAATCACACACATCGTTGCAACCCAAACTGTTCGAGTTGAACACTTTAAAAACACATCTGATCATAGTCACCCAATCGAAGATAGTGATCTAATAAAAATACTGGAGGCTATTCGACAAATTGTAGCTCAAGAGGCAAGTAAACCTTATACATCGCCGAATATTGTTATGACTGTAAAGGTAATTAGCTAGGCAACTAACTCCCAATAATATTCCCTTATAAGTTAGCAAAAATCATTAATATACTATATATCGCGAACTATAGTATCCCCACATCAATATGGTTGAATGTAAAATACCCGGCAGGTACATCCTATGTAAAAAATTTTTTATATGAAAAATTGCTTAGAATAGTACCTAGATACTAACTTGGATTTTGCTTGTGAAATATATCGTATCTGGGATACTATGGTTCGCATTGTACTGTAATATTTTAAATACACAAATTTGCTTTCTATGCCCATTAAATATGTTTTTCAAACTTTTAATTTTTTAATTTTATTTAATTTTTTTTTCAATTTTTTAATTTATTTATTTTGTTTGAAATTTTTTTTAATTTTTTTTTAGTTCTTTTTCTTATTTATTTAATTTTTTAATTTTTTTTAATTTTTAATCTATTTTTTTCTAATTTATTATTTTTAATATTATTTATTTATTATTATTTAATTTTAATTTTTTTTATTTTGTTTCTCTTCATAGATTCTATAATTGAGATATAAAATGTATATACTATTAGTTATTTGAAATATCCTAAATAATAAACAAATTCGACTAATTTTTAATTTCTAATCTT